ACACACACACACACACTCACACACACACACACACACACACACACACTCACACAGACACACACACACACACACACATAGACACACTTGCGTAGTAAGTCTGGAAGTCAGTGCTGGGATGATTTTTTTGTTTTAAATGAAGGGTCTTATAATAGCCTACACCTCCATTGACACAAAATTTATCATTTAGGAGGCGGGCTGTTGGTAGGGGGAAAGTGGTCCTACACACAATTCAACCTTTGTGACGTAGATAAGGGTGTGACCTTCCCTCTGAATTTACTATTTCCTTTGTGGAACTCTCTCTGCCACTGACTGGTCGACCACGAGTGTTGGTTCAGTAAAACCAACCAATCCGTGAGACCCGACACCCAGCAGCTGCTGTGATGCCCGCCTCCACAATGACCCGTCTGTGCGTGCTCAGACATTACAGTTGTGGACAAAAGGCTCGGTTCACTCTGGGAATAAATCGTGAGAGTACCATTTTTAAACACTTGTTGACTCATAACTGTATTTCTGTTCAACCGTTGATTGATTAGTGTTGTTAGATTTCCCATTCAACAACATTCAACAAAATACCACCAGTCAAACAAAAATGAAGTTATGAGTTTAAAAGCTGTTAAAATTGGCACCCTAACGATTTTCAGTTTCTGACTACAGTCGTTTTTCCCCTGTGGTCTTCAAATAGTAATCAACGTTAAAAGGTCTGTAGCAGCCAGGCAATGAGTGACGGAACAGTCACAGGACTTTCGCTGTGTCCTCCTTCGGTTTTGCGGTGTTGATGGTCAATAGAACACGTGTAGAATATCAACAGAAGTGTGTCGTGAGCGCAAAAAGTACATAATATATGGATGAATGTCGCCTTAAAGTTGATGCCATCATGTGTATGTTGTGAAATCATAAACATGTATGGATGAATGTCGCCTTAAAGTTGATGCCATCATGTGTATGTTGTCAAATCATAAACATGTATGGATGAATGTCGCCTTAACATTGAAGCCATCATTTGTATGTCGTGAAATCATAAACACAAATTGATGAAAGTCGTCTCTACACCATTGCCAACATAGCATATGTCGTGAAAGCAAAAAGAAAACAGAAATGGATGAATGAATTGAATGTCGTCTTAACATCTTCTGACAGAAACTGCACACGATGAACCGACACAAAAGAAGCCACTCAGTGCCAGCAACCTGTCTGTGTCTTTATGTCGTCCAATAGAAACTGAATTCTTGAAATTATGTGGTTAGCTGTCTCAATGACCCACTCTGAGCTGTTCCAGCTAAGGTTCGAACATAAGCCCTCTTGGCGCAAAGTGCAAGGCGCAGACTGTTGTCCCAACCTATCATCTGCCTGGTCGGAGAGCCTAAAGTCAGTGTCTGCAACACTCTACTGACGTCACAGGGGGTTCCCCCCTCCCCTTGCAGCCTTCGGTAAAACCCTTGACCTAAAAATAGAATGGGCTGGTGCGTCAAACGTCATCAGCTGATGGGCGGTCACTTCCGGCGAGGGTGTCCCCCGAGTCCACAAGCTGCAGTGCTGGTGACTCAAACACTTCGCTAACTCAACCAAAAACAAATCAGTGGTCGTTTAAAAAAAAATGTAGGTGTTTTTACACGGAGGCGAGCTTCCGACCCTGCCTGTCAGGGCCAACCCGGGCTGAGAGGGATACAACAGTCATCCAAGCAGAAAGACCGTCGAGATACTCGATAAAATTCTCCCCCACTCGGGAATCGAACTTGGATCTCCCGCGGCGTGCGACAGCGAAGAGCCTTGCCGCTACACCACAGACGCCGGTCTGTACACCGCGGTCGTCGGGCTGGGAAAATAGTGTGTGAAGTGTGTGACGTGCGTGAGTCTAGCCGCAGTTCTTGGCGGTACATTTGGGCCCATGCGGCGTGCACAGACACAGGTTGCAGTCGGACCAGTACTTCTGGTTCACCTTGAACCGGCCGCAGTGGTTCCGGGGCCGGAAGCGGTCAGTCAGGTTCACAGGTTCGTTCCGGAAAATGGACAAGCTGGGCGGGCGCTGCATGGGCCGCGCGTGACGTTTGCCGCCGTGGCCGCCGTCTTGGGGACTCGACGCCGCCGTGCTCGTTTCCACGGTAGCCAGCTCCGCTTTGAGGCAGCTGCTGTCGTCACAGTACTTCCGGCCCCTGACGTCACAGCGGCACCGCCTGCAGCCGTCCAACCAGCGGCTCCGCGGCTTACATTCGCGCACGATCACCACCGTGGTGCGCCGCTTGCCGCCCTGCTGGGGCAGACCCATGCTGTTGTTAATGACGTCACGGTGCTGTTTGTCGTACTGCTTGCGGTGGTCGTATTTGTTGCTGTTGTTGTTGCTGTTGCTTTTCTTCTTGTTGTTGTTGCGGTTGTGGTTGCTGCTGATGGTGTAGTCTTTGGCGTCTGGGTCAGGAATCTTTCCACCAGTGAGCAGTAGCCCCCCTCTGCCCTCCCCCTCGCCCCCGTCAACGACAATCGACGGTCTGTCGGAGGGGTCGAGGGTAAGATCAAACACGATATCACTCCCCGTCTCCTCCCTCCTCGCTCCGCCCCCTATGATGTCCGAGCGGTCAGGGGTTGACTCCCTGGACGTTGTCGTCTCCCCAGAGCCGTCCATCTCGCCGCTGGTCAGAATCCGGAAGTCCACGTCATCTTCGGTATCGTCTACGTCACTTCTGACGTCACCTCCGATTCGGTGACCTGTGACCTGGGCCAGCCCCCCGCCCACCGTCCCCCGCCCCCTGGAAGTCACGTGACTCCAGTCCAGCGAGTCCTCCTGGCCGCTCCGGAACTCTCCGGTGAAGGCACCGTTGTGCTTCCGGTTCTGAGACCGGATGTAGTAGTCGCCGCCCCCTTCCGTGGCGTCACGTCCGCTGTTGTCCACAGACACGGGCTGGAGAATACACAACGAAACAAGAGGGGCTGTGAGAAGTGGGGAGATACAATAGGGGATGTGAGAGGTGGGGAGATATAATAGGGGATGTGAGGGGAGGGGAGATATATACCACGTGGTTTTATAAATAACTAGAGATTGTGTTAGAGCGGGGCCGAAAAATTTTATAGACATTTAAGAACACATTTCTGATGAAATTTTACACAAAAACATTTAATTTAGTTTCAGTAAGTTTTACGACACTTGCAACACAAATAGGTCATACAGGTACCGAAGATTAGAGGTGTTTTTTAAAATTTTAGTAAGAGTTTTACGGCACTTGCAACACAATAAGGTGTTACAAGAGAGCATCATATAGGGAAGAGGAGGAGGAGAGATAAAGACGATAGTTGAACACGTTGATCAAAGGCACAAAAATAAATACAAACAAACACATACACGCACAAAATTACATGCACACACAAACACAAACAAACACACACACACAAACACACGCACACACACACACACACACACACACACACACACACACACACACACATGTTACCAGAGCACAAAAGTGCACATTCCTCATCATTCCTCCAGTGGCGGTGGG